AGCATAGGTAGGTAGAATTGGCTTGCCAGTTATGGTCTGAGGAGCCAAGGTCAAGCACAGGTAAGTAAAACTAGACCACCAAGTATGATCTGAGGAGCCAAGATCAAGCAAAGGTAGGTAGAATTGGCCTATCGGATGAGATCTGAGGAACCAGGGTCATGCACAGATAGGTAGAACTGGCCTACCAGGTATGGTGTGAGGAGCCAAGGTCAAGCACAGGTAGGTAGAACTGGTCCACCAAGGGTTGTTGGAGGAGCCAAAATCAAACACAGGTAGGCAGAGCTGGCCCAGCAGGTGAGGTCTGAGGAACCAGGGTATGATCTGAGGAGCCAAAGTCAAACATAGGTAGGTAGAATTGGCCCACCGGGTACGGTCTGAGGAGCCAGGGTCAAGGACAGGTAGGTAGAACTGGCATATTAGGTGAGGTCTGAGGAACTGAGGTCAACCACAGGTAGGTAGATTTGGCTTGCCAGGTCAGGTCTGTGGAATCAGGGTCAAGTATAGGTAGGTAGAACTGCGCTGTCATTTGTGGTCTGAGGAGCCAAAGTCAAGCATAGGTAGGTAGAACTGGCCCACCAAGGGTTGTTGGAGGAGCCAAGGTCAAACACAGGTAGGCAGAGCTGGCCCAGCAGGTAAGGTCCGAGGAACCAGGATACGATCTGAGGAGCCCAGGTTAAGCATAGGTAGGTAGGACTGGTCTATCAGGTAAAGTTTGAGGCACTGGAGTCAAGTACAGGTAGGCAGATTTGGTTTGCCAGGTGAGGTCTGAGGAACCAGGGTTAAATATAGGTAGGTAGAACTACACGACAGTGTAGTGGTCTGAGGAGCCAAAGTCAAGCATAGGTAGGTAGAATTGGCCCACCAGGTATGGTCTGAGGAGCCAGGGTCAAGGACAGGTAGGTAGAATTGGCATATCAGGTGAAGTCTGAGGAACTGAGGTCAAGCACAGGTAGGCGGATTTGGCTTGCGGGTCACGTCTGTGGAACCAGGGTCAAGTATAGGTAGGTAGAATTGCACTATCATTTGTGGTCTGAGGAGCCAAAGTCAAGCATGGGTAGGTAGAATTGGTCCACCAGGTGAGATCTGAGGATCTGGGGTAAAGTACAGGTAGGTGGAACTAGCCATTGGTCTTAAGGATTCAGGGTCAAGCACAGGTAGGTAGAACTGGCCTGTCAGGTCAAGTCTGAAGAACTGGGGTCAAACACAGGAAGGCAGATCTGGTTTGCCAGGTGAGGTCTGAGGAGCCAGTGTTAATTAAGCACAGGTAGGTAGAACTGGCCCACCAGGTATGGTCTAAGGTGTCAAGGTCAGGCACTAGTAGGTTGAACTAGCCTGTCAGGTTAAGTCTGAAGAACTGGGGTCAAACACGGGTAGGCAGATCTAGCTTGCCAGGTCAGGTTTGAGGAGCCCGGGTCAAGCATAGGTACGTAGAACGACCACCAGGTGCAGTCTGAGGAGCCAAGGTTAAGCACAGGTAGGCAGAGCTGGTCTGGCAGGTTAGAGGAGCTGGGGTCAGAGACAGGTAGGTAGAAGTGGCCAGCCAGGTATGGTCTATGTATGGACTCAGGGGCATGTAAGGTAGGCAGATCTGGTCTGCCAGGTGTGGTCTGAGGACCCAGAGTCAAGCACAGGTAGGTAGAAATCGCCCTCCAGGTGTGATCTAAAGACCAGAGTCATGCACAGGTAGGTAGAAGCGGCCCACCAGATATGGTCTGAGGAGCTAAAGGTCAAGCACAGGTAGGCAGAATTGGCCTGCTAGGTACAGCATATATAAGGAGCCAGGGTCATAGAAGGTAGGTAGAGCTGGCCCACCAACTGCAGTGTAAGAGCCACAGGCACGTAAAGTAGGCAGATCTGCCCTGCCAGGTGTGGTCTCGGGACCCAAGATCAAGCAAAGGTAGGTGGAGCTGGCCTGTCAGGTGTGGTCTGAGGAGGGAGGTAGAGTTGACTTTCAGGTGTTGGATTCAGGCAAAGGCATGTACCCTTGGATCTTTGTGGTGGGGCCTGAAGAAGGTTAAGCCTGGGTGGGTGGAGTGGCCACAGGCGAGTCCCACAGCATTGGGGTCTTTAGGAAGACAGACACTGTGGGGTTCAAGGGAGGTCTGTAAGCCCTAAGTTAGACGAGAGTAGGTAGATGTGGCTCTCTCAAGCATGGACTTTGGAGCCAGAGATCTACACTTGAGTCTTGTTGGTGAAGTCCTTGGAACGTGGCTCTGGCTTAGGTGTGCTGGCCCAGGTTTTAGAGTTAGAGGGGAGGCTTGGAGAGCATGGGTTAGTCACAGGGAGGGAGAGCCACATCTCAGCGGGGGGGGGGGGGGGGGGGGGCGTCTCTAGAGCACTGGTATACACAGAGATACTTGTGTCTGATGAGGTCTGAGGCTCCTCAGTGAGCAGTTGTTGCCAGGTCAAGCAGTGGCTGCTAATGTCAGATCTGCAAGATGCCGAGATCCATGTCAGACAAGGGATATGGAGCTGGGTTTCTCAAGTTGGGCCTGGGAGTTGAGGTCAGGCCTGTTTAGACAGAGCTGAGTCTCTCAGGAAAGTGTGAGGAGTCTGAGTTGGGCTCAGGGAAGTACGCCCGAGTCTGTCATCTGAGATGTGGGGGGTCAGGCACAGATACGTGGAGCTGGGTACACCCGCTGAGCTTTCTGGAGCCAGTCTCTGACAGGTGTGTGACCCTGTCACACAGTATGAGGTACTGGAGCGGGACACAGGTAGGCAGAGCTAACCTCACAGGCGAAGCCACTGCATCCATGCAGTGTCGTGAGTCCGTGGATCCGGAGTCATGTGGGCAGAGGTATATAAGTGTGATCTTAGGTGGGTTCTTGTCACCTGGATTCAGGTATGAGTTGGCATCCCTGGGCTTGTTAGGTGAAATGAGAAGGCAAGCTCTAGCCCAGGAATGCATAACTGATGTGGCCGGTGAGGCCTGAGTATATGGGTCAGGTGCAGGTGGGGTCCTCGGTGGTAGGATCAGGCATGGCTTGGGTAGCATGGGCTGCCCTCAAGGGAAAGCCAGAGTCATCGTAGGTATGTGTACCTGGGTCTGCCTGGGGACCCTTAGGATCAGGTAGGACAGATGGAATGCCTTGGCCAGGGCAGCTTCCTGTTCTCAGTACCCCGGTCATGCATGATAGGCAGAGCTCATGGTATTGCAGAGGCATGAGGATCTCTAGCCAGTCCAGGGTGTGGTCTATAGCATTGGGGTCTGAGTTACGCAGGTGAGGGAAATAATAGAATTATAACTAGTTAGATAAAGTGAGGTTTGTTGTGGGAGAGGCATAGAACGCTGAACTGACGAGCTATAAGGTGTGATCTGAAAGAGCCGCTGCAGCGAACATGAGTTCTAGAGACTGTGTCCTGTAGGTGGAGGTCTTAGAGGCTCAAGTCAGACACTGGCATTGCCTGGCTCCCAAAAGTGAGGTCTGATGACCTGGCTCAGCCAAAATCAGCAGCTTGGCAGTCTGCTTTCTAGAACTGAGTCTGTTCGGTGAGATCTGAGAGCCCATGTCATGCATGGTTTGGCCCCTGGGACGGTGTCTGTCAGGTAAGGTTTCCCCAAACCTGGACTGTTTCCAGGTGAAGGGCCTCCCTGTTCATCTCATTACCCAGGCCAAAAACCTCTGGGCTGCACTTGATTCTCTCATTCTCTCAATTCACCCTATTTGATTGAAGTTCCTGAATCAGTCCTCTGCACCCCCATCCACAGTACTGTCACGTTCCTGATGACCCCTGGCATTCCCTGCTTCATTCTCCAGCATTGCCTCTCAGCTTCTACCCTCCAGCTCCGCTGCTTCTTTCATCTAGAATGTGCTGTGCTTCTCTTGCCCAGCCTGTCTCAATGGGCCTCCAGTAGAGAATTAAGCCCTAATGCCTCAAAGCATCCAGGGGATGTAATGAATCAGCATCTCTTCTTTGCTTGTAGGAGAGTACTAGCCTTGGACCATCCTTGGGACAGTTAAGAAGTGAAGTCACTGAAAGTATTTTCTGTGGGGCTTAACTCTCTCACTATTGAGAAAGGCTGCTCTAGCCACAGGACCTTTGCCTATGCTGTGCTGGCTGCTGGAATGCTTCTCCCCACTCAGTGCTTTCCTGGGTGATGCCTGCTCATTCCTTAGATCCAAGCTCAAGCTCAAGCACTCCTCAGGTTCCTTTCATAATTGGTTTCACTGATGTATTTCCTTTCTCCCAAGCACTTATATCTCATTTCACATTTATTGGCACGATTATTTCATTTACACATCTGGGGAGCCCCCATGGGCTGCTTCTGTTGCCTGTGATAGCTATGTGGTAGGTGCTCTATAAATGGCTGTTAAGAAGATGTGAATGTGTCAGGAAGATACAGAGTGGAGTCTGCAAGTGTGAATGGTAGGCCTGTGTATGTCTTGGGGCTGAGACTACGATCAGGTATGAGCTCTGGGCCTGTCACTGTCCCAGGAGGCAGCCCTAGGCTTGGATATGAGGCACTGGGTTTGTCAGTATCAGAAGGGGCAAGGCCACGCCCAGGCATATTAGTATCTGAGGAGGCAGGGCCAAGGCCAGGTAGCGTTGGATCTTTCATTGTTCAAGGAAGTGTGCTTGGGCACAGGTAGGAGGCATCGGGTCTGTTCGTCTGAGGATGCAGGGCCTGGCACAGGTAGGAGGCGCTGGGTCTGTCACTGCCGGAAGAGGCCAAGCCGGGTCCTGGTATGAGATTCTGACCTGTTAGTGCCCAGGTAGGTGGGCTCGCCACAGGTACAAGATGTTGGGTCTGTTACTGTTCAGAGAGGCTGGATACAGGTATGGGATACTAGGTCGGTCAGTGTCTGAGGAAGCAGGACCTGGCACAGGTATGAGGTGCTGGGTCTGTCAGAGTGTGAGGAGGTAGAGCCTGGCAAGGTATGAAGGGCTGGGTCTGTCGGTATTTGAATAGGCCTGGCACAGGTGTGAGGCATTGGGTCTGTCAGCGTCTCACGAGACATGACCAAACACGGGTATGAGCTCTGGGTCTGTCGGTGTCTGAGGCGGCCGGGCGTGACATAGGTATGAGGTGCTGGGTCCGTCAGTATTCGAAGAGGCTCGGGCACAGGTATGAAGCACTGGCTCTGTCAGTGTCTAAGGGGCTAGACCCGGCAAGGTATGAGATGCTGGTCTGTTGGTGTCTGAGGAAGTGGGGCCTGGTACCAGGTACGATGTGCTGGATCTGTCTGTGTCTGAGGAGACCAGGCCTGGCGCAGGTAGGAGGCACTGGGTCTGTGGGTCTGTCTGAGGAGATGGGGCCTGGTACCAGGTATGAGCCGCCGGGTCTGTCGGAGGAGGAGGAGGCCAGGCCCGGTGCAGGTATGAGGCGCTGGGTCTATCGGAGGAGAAGGCCGGGCCTGGCGCAGGTACGAGGTGCGCCGGGTCTCTCTGTGTCTGAGGAGGCAGGGCCAGCCATGGTAAGGTCTCCGGTTGGGTCTTGTGGCTCTGATCAGTCCCACGCGTAGTCTGTCCTGTTGGTCAGCACAAAGAGTTGCCAGCGCCTGGCCTGCTGTCTTGCTTCCCAGAGGTGGGTTGGGCCTGGCCCTCCATGCTGCACCTGTGGAAGAGCCTTGCTTTCAGGGGGCAAGTTTTGTGGCAGGAGGGAGGGGGGGCGGGGTGCGCCAAACCTTGTTCAGCACCTTTTCCTGTCTCTCCTAGTGGGTAGGAGGACGCTACTCGCTGTGGTCAGCCATTGGACTCTCCATTGCACTGCACGTGGGTGAGTGTTTGTTTTAGTCTTGGGAGGTGATATTGTAGTCTGAGGTCAGGAGTGGGGGTCTCATGTCCCTGAACACCTTCCTGACCCACAGAGCATGCTGGCCCCTCTCCCCTTGGCTGGAACATTTCTTTCGGGTCAGGACGGCAGGCCTTTTTTCTCTTGGGTTTGCAGGTTGGCCTTGATCTCTGTCCCTCACAACTGCCCTCTTGCCATTTCCCATGGTAGATGAAGTTAGCTCTGCCTTTGCCCTGAGGGCAGACTCTGATTAGAAAGACTTTCTGTAGGCCCAAGTCTTCCCAGGTCCTCTTTCTTCTGGCTGCACCTCAGCCTTTCCTTGGGTCCAGAGGAAGCTGTGTCCACTGCCAGAAGGCACCGGGCACGACCATTTCTGTTGACGCTGCTTTCGTGTCGCAGGATTTGACAACTTCGAGCAGCTGCTCTCAGGGGCTCACTGGATGGTAAGTGCTGAGGCTCGTGTTCTCTGCCAGAGACACGTAGTTGCTCCAGCTCCCTCTCCTCCTGGGCAGCTGCTCGGCTCTCACTGACCCTGCTCTTGTTTCAGGACCAGCACTTCCGTACCACACCCCTGGAGAAGAACGCCCCCGTCCTGCTAGCTCTGCTGGGCATCTGGTACATCAACTGCTTTGGGTGTGAGACGCAGGCCATGCTACCCTATGACCAGTACCTGCACCGCTTTGCCGCCTACTTCCAGCAGGTACCAGCTGCCAGGCCAGGTCTTGGGTCAGCCTGTGCGGGGGACTGGGAGGCCCATGAGCCCAGGTTTTTGCCCCTCCAGGGGCTTTTCTCCCCCCACTGCCCTTGGGTATAGCCAAGGCCCACCTCTGTTCCCAGTCTCAGGGTGACTCTTTGTTACCAGGGTCTGTTTGATCTGAGTGTTAGCCAAGTTTGACGACCATAGAGGGGCATGACTGGTTATCATGGTGGCCAGTCAGACCCTGGCTTGGCTAGGGCATGGGTCTCAGCTTGGTCATTTCTTCCTTGGCCATCACTGTGTGCCTGCGATAGGGTGGGGGCCATCGGCCAGGACCCCTATGGCTTGCACTGCTTTTGTCCCTCTAGAAAAGCAACTCACACCCAGTCTGTGGTGCCTCTTTGGGCTACTCACAGCCTTCTGCACCCCCTCGAATCTCCAGGGCCCCCAGGGACCAAACAGCATCTCTCCTGGTCCAGATTCTCTTTCAGGGGGCCTCTTTTCAGGGCTCCCCACAGTCCAGCATCTAGTTGAGGTGACAGACCTCAAAGGCTGTACACCCTGGACCTCAGCCAGCCTTTCCCTAAGGCAACAGTTAAAGAGGGGCACCTGACTGGCTTGGTTGGAAGAGTACGCAACTCTTGATTTCAGGGTCATGAGCTCGAGCCCCACACTGGATGTAGAGATCACCTAAATGAATAAACTTGAGAGGCACTTGGGTGGCTCAGTTGGTTAAGCGTCCGATTTCAGCTCAGGTCATGATCTTGTGGTCCACGGGTTCGAGCTCTGCGTTGGGCTCAGAGCCTGGTGCCTGCTTCGGATCCTGTATCTCCCTCTCTTTCTGCTCCCCCCCCCCCCCCAGCTTGCCTGCTCTGTCTCAAAAACAAATATATATTAAGAAAAATGTTTTTTAATAAATAATTTAAAAAGAAATACATCAATTAAATATACTGTGACTGGTTTCTGCTCATAGGGAGGTCCTCCTTAGACCTCCATCCCCACCTTTACCTTCCTGCAGTGCTCTAAGCCAGAAAGCCACGAGCCTGTGTCCTCGAGGGGCGATGAAAGGAACATGCCTGATGATAACCCACAGGGCAGGGCAGGTATACTTGGTGCATCTCAGGCAGGATTTGGGCATGGTGCATGAAGAAAAGAAGACTTGCAGATAGAGGGCTGGGTTTCTGTCCCTATTCCAGGGTGACATGGAGTCCAATGGGAAGTACATCACCAAGTCCGGCACTCGTGTGGACCACCAGACGGGCCCCATTGTGTGGGGGGAGCCAGGGACCAATGGCCAGCATGCCTTCTACCAGCTTATCCACCAAGGTAGGGCCCATCTGGCTTGGGCAGGGGTGCTGCTCGGGAGGGGGCGGGCCCCCTGGCAGAGACTTCTCCCTGAGGTCAACACTCTCCTATCGGCCATGTGGGTGGCCCCCATGGGCTAGGGTAGGAGCTTGGGTGACCGCTGTGCCCTCTTACAGGCACCAAGATGATACCTTGTGACTTCCTCATCCCAGTCCAGACCCAGCACCCAATAAGGAAGGGTTTGCATCACAAGGTAAGAGCCCCATCCAGCCTCTCCTCACACTTTGTCAGGCTCACATTACACCCAAACTATTAAAGAGTTGATGCATTGGTTGGCGGTTATACTAGTTTTCTGTTCCTGCCATAACAAATTACACAATCGTAATGGCTTAAAACAACACCCGGTTTTTATATTGGTTTCAATGGATCTGAAGTCCAGCAGGCTCTACTGGGTCTTTGCTCAGGGTGGACCAAGGTCCAGTTTCCTTGATGGCAGCTAGGGGATCATTCTCAGCTCCAAGAAGCCACCTTGGCCTGTGGCACTGTCTCAGAACCAGTAGTGGTAGGTGGAGTCCCTCTCCAGCTTTGATTCTGTCCTGCCTCCTCTGTTGATTCTCTCTGACCAACTTATTTGCCTTCCTCTTCTACTTTTTGGGGCCCATGTGATTACATTGGGCCCACCTATCCCTATCTCAGTGTCTGTTACCTTCATTCCATCTGTAAGATCCCTTTTGCCATGTCCTGTAACTTACATAGGTGCAACAGCAGGGGCGGGGGCAAAGATCTTACTTACCACAGCAGCAAATGGGAAAACCATCCAGTACCTAAACTGACCTGACGCTGGCTTTGAAGAGGATTGAGTGCACCTTATGTTGGGTGTGCAGAGTAGCATGGGTAACTGTGAGCACAGGCTTTGGAGTCAGAGACCTGGGTTTGAATTCTGATTCTTCCTCTCTCTACCTCTGTGATTCAGCACTGTTGACTTGGGGAGACAGGCTCAACTAGGAAAGAGAGGGGATGCTTTTGCCCCTCAGAATCTTACAAGATAGCTAAAGTTCTTAGCAGGGTCCTCGGCAAGTCAGGCGTGTTCCTGAAAGGGTAGTTATTGTCATTACCTACTTTACCCTGTCATCAGATGTGACCTGCCGTCCCCTCTCACTTCCATTGAGCTCTATGTTGGGGGCTGGCAACCTGACCGAGGCTAGGACTACCCCAGCTGAGAATTGCCAGGCAGTCTTGCCCCTCTGCCTGAAGCTCAGACAGTACTTCTTGGCAGAACTGGGTGTCTCTCTTGTCAGATCCTCATGGCCAACTTTTTGGCCCAGACTGAGGCCCTGATGAAGGGGAAGTCGACAGAGGAGGCCCGGAAGGAGCTGCAGTCCGCAGGAAAGAGTCCAGAGGACTTTGAGAAGCTGTTACCACACAAGGTCAGGACTTCTGAAGTGGGTGGCATCCTGGAGTCGGAAGGATAAAAGTTGTGAGGCCAGGGCAAGGATTCACAGCGTGCCTGCCTTGTCCTACACAGTAGGAGGGGCTGTCCTTACAGATCTGCACATCCCGACCTCTGGGACAGGGTGTACATCCCCTCTTAAGTTATTTGGGGATCACAACTAACCAGGGGACATTCCTGGGTGTTTTCTGAAGGTCTTTGAAGGAAATCGCCCAACCAACTCTATTGTGTTCACCAAGCTCACACCATTCATTCTGGGAGCCTTGATTGGTGAGTGAGCGGGGAAGGTCCTGGCCTGGGGTAGGTTGGATGAAGCTGGTAGAGCCCTAATGTGCCCCATCTGCCACCTCTGTAGCCATGTACGAGCACAAGATCTTCGTTCAGGGCATCATCTGGGACATCAACAGCTTTGACCAGTGGGGGTGAGTTGCTGCTCCTCAAGGGGAGGGTGGAGAATGCCTGTGGGCAGGCTTACGGATTTCACTGGTGATGCTGGAACCTTCCTCTTATTCTTATCGTCCTGCCAGGGTGGAGCTGGGAAAGCAGCTGGCCAAGAAAATCGAGCCTGAGCTTGACGGCAGTAGCCCAGTGACTTCTCACGACGCTTCCACCAATGGGCTAATCAACTTCATCAAGCAGGAACGTGAGGCCAGAAGCCAATAAACTCATGCCTGGCTGCAGTCCCTATTGTGACTGGTCCTTCTTTGTCCCTCTTCACCAGAGATGTACTGCACAGTCCTTCCCAGAGCACCTCTGGCTGTAGGCTTGGAGTACAAGCCCTTTGGGGGAAGCTGGTCTGGGATTGCTATCATCACCCCTCCATGTCTGTGTGCCCTGTTTTACGACTGGCTGAAGTGTTTCAGTGCAGCTGATTTTTCTGACCGTGTTCACCTTGTTCATGTATCAGAAAAATAAAGATGCCACAAAGGAGGTTGTAGGCTTAGCCTCTTCTTGTCTCTGGAAGTGGTGCTCTACACAGGAGTTAGGGCAACCAGGAGGAGTGATGTGCCTCGACTGAGGCTTGACTTGTAAGTGGTGAGCAGGTCCAGAATGGAGGATGGTCCCTTGAGAAGAGAGTGGAGGAGACATGGGGCACAAAGTCACAAGGGCAACTTAGCCACTGTAAGCAAATCCTTTTCTTTTATCTGCTCCTCACCTCAGTGATTTTGGAGGAATTGCATGCTTCTGTTCACTGGGTACTTAGTTCTAAAAGCTGCATTAGATTATGTCTGTTATGGGTGAATACCTAGCCCAGATCAAGGGTAATGATCATCTTCTGGCCAGATGCTCAGGAAGTTCTCTTCTTTCAGAAGACAGGCACTGAAAAAAGGATTTTGAGCAAACTACCCTTTTATCTTCTGTTCAAGATACTTACCTTCTATTCAGGATATTAAATAATATTTTTGGCCCCTTAGGCAGAAAGGGAATTTTACTTTAAGAGTCAATGAGCAGGGGCGCCTGGGTGACTCAGTCAAGCGTCTGACTTCAGCTCAGGTCATGATCTCACACTCCATGAGTTCCAGCCCTGTGTCAGGCTCTGTGCTGACAGCTCAGTGTCTGGAGCCTGCTTAGGATTCTGTCTCCCTCTCTGCCCCTCCCCTGCTCATGTTCTGTCTCTGTCTCAAAAATAAATAAAAGCATTAAGATAGATTGATTGATAAAGAGTCAACAAGCAGAATTGATCGGCAGGCTGGAGGCTGAGCTTTCAGGGTCTACACTCGATCATCATACAGGGTCTAGACAGGGAAACTGCTGCCCCTTTCACAAAAGCCCCGTCATCACAGCTGCCTTCACCCCATTCTCTCCTGGGTTGCCCCTTTCTGAGTTGTACTCTGGGTTGGTCACATGACTTCCTCAAGACAGGGAAAGCTCCTGTAAGAAGACAAATGGCACCCATGAAGGTTCAAAGGGAGGCATACCCTAATTATGGAATGTGACCATATAGATGTAACTATCTGCTTAAAATACTGCTTGGAAGTTGTCAGCACTTCTCTTTCTAATGATGGTGTAGTTCTGTTTTGTTTTGTTTTTCTTTCCAAAAGCAAATGCCCACTCCTCTAAAAATGGTCTTTGATGGTCTGGCTCTGTTGAGGCCCCTCCTAACCCACCTTCTTTCTTAATCTAGCTGATAAGTGAAGGCCTTATTTATTTATTTATTTATTTTTAATTTAAATCCAAGTTAGTTAACATAGAGTGTAAGGTGGTTTCAGGAATAGAATTTAGTGATTCATCACTTACATGTAACACCCAGTGCTCATCCCAGCAAGTGTCTCCTTAATGCCCATCAGCCATTTAGCCCATCCCCCTACCCACCTTCCCTCTGGCAGCCCTCAGTTTGTTCTCAATATGAGTCTCTTACAGTTTGCCTCCCTCTCTGTTTTTCCTATTTTTCCTTCTCTTATGTTCATATGTTTTGTTTCTTAAATTCCACCAGTAAAATCACATGTTTTTCTCTGACTTACTCTGCTTAGCATAATAACTCTAGTTCATCCACGTTGTTGCAAATGGCAAGATTTCATTCTTTTTGATCGCCATGTAATATTCCATTGTATATATACACCACATCTTTATCCATTCATCAGTTAATGGACATTTGGGCTCTTTCTATAATTTGGCTATTGTCGATAGTGCTGCTATAAGCATTGGGGTGCATGTGCCCCTTCAAATCAGCATTTTTATATCCTGTGGATAAATGCCTAGTAGTACCATTGCTGGGTTGTAAGGTAACTCTATTTTTACTTTTTTGAGGAACCTCCATACTGTTCTACAGAATGGCTGCACCAGTTTGCCTTCCCACCAACAGTGCAAAAGGGTTCCCCTTCTCCACATCTTCCACCAACATCTGTTGCCTGAGTTGTTCATTTTAGCCATTGTGACAGGTGTGAGGTGATAATCTTGCTGTGGTTTTGATTTGTATTTCCCTGATGATGAGTGATGTTGAGCATCTTTCCATGTGTCTGTTAGTTATGTGGATGTCTTTGGAAAAGTATCTGTTCAATCTTTTGTCTGTTTCTCCACTGGATTATTTATTTCTTGGGTGTTGAGTTTGATACATCCTTTATACATTCTGGATACTAATCTTTTTTTTTTTTTTTCAACGTTTATTTATTTTTGGGACAGAGAGAGACAGAGCATGAACGGGGGAGGGGCAGAGAGAGAGGGAGACACAGAATCGGAAACAGGCTCCAGGCTCCAAGCCATCAGCCCAGAGCCTGACGCGGGGCTCGAACTCACGGACCGCGAGATCGTGACCTGGCTGAAGTCGGACGCTCAACCGACTGCGCCACCCAGGCGCCCCAAGGATACTAATCTTTTATCTAATATGTCATTTGCAAATATCTTCTCCCATTCCATCTGTTACCTTTTAATTTTATTCTTTCCTTCACTGTGCAGAAGCTTTTGATCTTGATGAGGTCCCAAGAGTTCATGTTTGCTTTTGTTTCCCTTGCCTCCAGAGACCTGTCTAGTAAGAAGATGCTGTGGCCTGTTTTCTCCTCTAGGATTTTGATGGCTTCCTATCTTACATTTAGGTCTTTCAAACATTTTGAGTTTATTTTTTGTGTATGGTGTAAGAAAGTGGTCCAGGTTTATTCTTCTGCATGTCACTGTCCAGTTTTCCCAACACCATTTGCTGAAAAGACTGTCTTCTTTCCAGTGGATATTCTTTCCTGCTTTGTCGAAGATTAGTTGGCCAGAAATTTGTGGGTCCATTTCTGGGTTCTCTATTCTATTCCGTTGATCTTTGTGTCTGTTTTTGTGCCAATACCATACTATCTTGATGATTACAGCTTTATGTAATACAGTTTGAAGTCGGGAATTGTGATGCCTCCAGCTGTGGTTTTCTTTTTCAACATTACTGTGGCTATTTTGGGTCTTTTGTGGTTCCATACAAATTTTAGAATTGTTTTTTTCTAGCTCTGTGAAGAATTTTGGTGTTATTTTGATAGGGATTGCATTGAATGTGTAGATTGCTTTGGGTAGTATAGAGTTTTTAACAATATTTATTCTTCCTGGGGTGCCTGAGTGGCTCAGTCGGTTAAGCGTCCGACTCTTGATTTTGACTCAGTCATGATATCATGGTTCCTGAGATTCTTTCTTTCTGCTTTTCTCTCTACCCCTGCCCCACTCACACTATCTCTTTCTCTCTCAAAATAAATAAATATTAAGAAACAAACCAGTATTTATTCTTCCAATCCACAAGCAGGGAATGTTTTTCCATTTCTTTGTATCTTCTTCAGTTTCTTTCGCAAACTTTCTATAGTTTTCACCATACAGATCTTTTACCTATTTGGTTAGGTTTATTCCTAGGTATTTTATGGGTTTTGATGCAATTGTAAATGGCAGTTTGTATTTTGTAAATTGTAAATGCAATTGTAAATGGGATCGACCAATTCCTTGATTTCTCTTTCTGCTGCTTTATTATTGGTGTATAGAAATGCAACTGATTTCTGTACGTTGATTTTATATCCTGTGACTTTATTGAATTCAGGTATCAGTTCTAGCAGTTTTTTGATTGTGAATGCCTTTTCTCATCAGAAGCACTTTCTCTATTACAAAGGAGCAAGCACAAAAAAGTCTGTAGAGAGAAAAATTCTAGGTGGTAGAGTTCCTCAGGCTCACTTGGCTTCACATGAAAGGTCTCTTAGGAGTAGGAGCACTGCTCCTCTAGGCCAGAGGCCAAGTCTCACGTCTTGTCCTATGCAGGAGGAGCCAGCACATGTCCGTTGGCCACACATCCCTTGGCCCTGTCTTATTCTCTCCCCCCATCACCAGCACTATCACTTGTAGCTTCCACTTGTTGTGAGTTCTTCAACAGTGTATTATTTAGGGTTTTCCAGAAAAACAGAACCAACAGGCTATAGATATATGTAAGGAGATTTATCATGGGAATTGGCTCCAAATCCCTCCTGTGATTCTGGAGGCTGAGAAGTCCCACAATATGCGATCTACAAGCTGGAGACCCAGGAAGAACAAGGCAGGTATGTTTCAATCTGCTGTCTGAGGGCAGGAGAAGATGGATGTCTCAGCTCAAGAAAGAGAATTCTCCCTTCCTCTCCCTTTTTGTTCTCTTAGGGCCCTCAGCCTCGGTGGTGATGCCTATCCACACAGGTTAGAGCAGATCTTCTTTACTCCATCTACTGATTGAAATGCTATTCTCTAACCCTCACAGACAATCCCAGAATTAATGTTTCACCAGCTATCTGGGCATCTCTTAGCCCAATTAAATTGATGCATAAAATTAACCACCATAAACAGCTCTTCAATGTGAGATTCAAGCAGCTTTCAACATTTTCATTTTGTACTTGCTCAAATAAATACAAACTGGGGGCCCCGCCTCGCTGTCTGTCAGCAGAGCATGTGATCTTGATCTTGGGGTTATCAGTGCAAGCCCCACATTGGGGGTAGAGATTACATACATACATACATTCACAAAAAAACCTGTACCATAACAATGAAGTGTGTGAATCTGACAGGGAAGTCCAAACTATAAAATCATTAATTAAGTGGAATCCTTCAGATCTCACACATGCAAGCACCTTTTTGTTGTATCGTTCCAAGGACCCCACAAAAATGTTTCTATCAAATTTGGTGTTAAGTTGCCTCTGGAATTCCAGAATGTGGCAGCGATTAACATCTTGAAGATTCATCTTAAGTAGCTTTCATGCTGCGATCACACTTTGATCAAGAGATTGTAGCAGGTAGTGTTATAGAAACAGATGACTGATATTGGAGAAAGCTCAGTAACTGTTGGAAGATCTCTTGCTGTGTTAGCAAGAATACCAATTTTGTAGGTTCTTTTTTCAATAATTAAAATATATCTCTTGAGAAACCTAGCTAAAATAACAAGTATCTGCCAAGTCATCCAGCCTATTTGGCTAGACGGGAAGTGAACACCAAGGTCAGACTTCACAATGCCTTTTAAAGCTATCAGATTGGCAGTGATGAACCAGTAACAAGCTGGTTTTGTCTCCAGGTCTCCTGTGATGGGGCTGGAAGCAAACATGAGGCAATTATATACTGCTTGGAAGGTGTCAATCATTGAAAACCTACACTTCCTTTTCTTCTTCTTTTTTTAAGTTTATTTATTTTGAAAGAGAGAGATCACGAGCAGGGGAGGGGCAGAAAAAGAGGGAGAGAGAGAATCCAGAGCAGGCCCCACACTGTCAGTGCAGAGCCCAATGCAGAGCTCAATCTCACCCCGAGCCTAAACCAAGAGTCGAGCACTTAACCGAATGAGCCACCCAGGCGCCCCATCTACACTTCCTTTTCACGCTACTGTATGAAGACTGAATAGTGCTTTTGCAACATGTGTTTTTAAAAGGTCAGGTTTATTGAGGTATAGTTTACATACAGTAAAATTCACCTTTTGGAGTGCAGTTTTGACAAATACATAGTGATGCAACCACCAGAGTTGAGATACACAGTGTTTTCTTTTTCTTTTTTTTTTTTTAAGTTTTATTTATTTATTTAGAGAGAGAGCATGTGCAAGTGGGAGAGGGGCAGAATCCCAAGCAGACTCTGCACTGTCAATGTGGAGCCCAATGAGGGACTTGAACTCACGAACCCGTGAGATCATGACCTGAGCCAAAGTCAGACACTTAACCGACTGACACACGCAGTGCCCCAGTATACACCATTTTCATCACCTCAGAAGGTTCCTGGTACCCCTTTCTGGTCGATCCCTACCCCGTGAACCCAAACCCTGGTAACAACTGATCTGATTTCTTTCCTCGAAGTTCACCTTTTCCAGAATGTGGCCTTTTGTGTCTGGCTTCTTTCACTTAGCATGATGTTTTTGAAATTACCTAGGTAGTTGTACCACGGGCATTTGAAAAAACGATTACAGAAAATTCCAAACATATAAAAATAGTATAATAGATCTCTATGTGCCTGACACCAAATGTAAACATTTATCAACTCATGGACTGCTCCATAATTTCCTCTATAAGCATTTTGATGTACCTGTAAAAATTAAAGACTTTGTGTGTATCTTAACGATAATACGATAATTCCACTTCAGGTAAAATTTTTTGGCAAGACTATTTTAAAGCAGATCGTGAGTACTTCCTACCTCAGTGCATTCGGAGGCACAGACTATCTGAGGCTCCTGGATTCTTAGCCCACAACAGCAGCAGTCGCCTGTCATCCACTGAAGGATCTCGAGGGGGCGGGGCCGTCTCGCGGTTGTAGCGAGACGCATGCGCGGAGAGGAGCACCGGCTCGGCTGCCGTAGTTCGCCTTTCCACGTGGGCGCCTGGTCGTCATGGCGGCCGTTCGGAAGCCAGTGCTACTCGGGCTTCGAGACACTGCAGTGCGTGGCCGCCCCACGGGGTCGGGCGCCTGGACCGCTAGCAAGCTGGGCGGCCTTCCGGTGAGGTGGGGCCCCGGAGCTGGGGTCGGCGGGTGCTGGTGAGGGCTACGGGGTGAGGTCCCTGGGCAGAGCCCGGGTCTGAGCGCCTTACCTGTCCTCAGGACGCCTTGCCCTCCGTAGCAGCGCCGAGGCCAGTGTGTGAACGTTGCAGGCAGCCTCTTGCCCTGGTCGTACAGGTGTACTGCCCCTTGGAAGGCTCCCCGTTTCATCGGCTACTGTACGTATTCGCTTGTCCCCGCCCCAGGTGCAGCATGGGCGGAGCGCGCAGGTAGGCGGGGAAGTTCAGCAGGGTGGGTGGGAGCTGGGGTCCGCACCAGCCACACGGGATAGCGACAACCGCTGGCTGGTGCTCTGCGTTGCACCCTCACTGCCATTTATTTTTACCCTGAAGCTGGAAGGTGTTCCGCTCCCAGTGCCTGCAGACTCGAGAGAAAGAGGCGCAGGACGCACAGGTAAACCGGTTGTGACCAGCGCATTATGATTTGCTGTAATTTGAGGGTATTTTCCAGAATGTCGTTTAAGACAAACTTCAAGCAGTGGTCTTCGAAGTATGTTGGAGTGGTTTTTGCACTTTTCTGAACCATGAAATGCTATCTTAAGATTTTTGTTGTTTCTTTTAATATACACTGAAGGCCTTGAGGCACATAATTCCCTGATGTTTCTGTTTGGAAAAAAGTATGGATGTGTACGCGGTTATATGTAACACATATGTGTGTGTTTTATAGTACATATGCTTAGCGTCCTGCGTGTACATGTGTATAAAAAACATTTAATAAGAAATCTGAACTTATTGAAATCAAAAAGTAGGGCAAGTTGGTAGCTGCAGAACAAAAATTCAGCTTCCTTTGCCTGGATGTCACCTTATATATACACTGAGTTCTTAACATGTGCCAGGCATGGTACCAGCAATATCAGGAATGAAAAGATGAAGATCTGGTGTCTGCCTATATTTGTCAGGGTTCAGTTGCAGGTGATAAAAAAGCACTGAACTGTTAAAGTTGAAAGAATTAGGTTTTTACTAACATTGGTTAGGCTGGAGGGGGCGACTCCAGGAATGACCTTCAGAACCACATCTGAGAATGGGCTTGTTCAGGAGCTGCTAGACCACCTTCTGCATCCACAGTCAGAAAGCTGAGATGTGGTCTGGTGAACTGGAAGCTGCCCTTGTCAGATCTTTTGCCTCCAGATCCTTGCTTTATATCTATTTACAGACTTTTGCTTCATGGCCTCTCTCTCCACTTCATTGTTTCAAGTTTGTGTCTCCTTAGTGGACCTGATTAAGGGAGCCCTGATTATATCTGGAACTCTAACCGCTAAGGAGTCTGGGAAATGTAGTTCTTTCCTGCCAACTTCTGCAGTACATGAAGCACGACTGAAAGAGTTTGGAATAGGTGGTTGAAAAAACCACCGTACTGCATCTGCCACACTGCCCCTGAAAAGGGAAGACAATTTTTTGTCACCTCCAACATGCTTTGGGTGAATGGGGTCCAGAAAATTGAATCAGAGTGTGCAAGAGAGGAAGATAGTGGTGCGAAGGCTCCCTCAGGAAGGTGAAGGGATTTGTAGCTCAAGCCAAGGGAATAGGTGAGATCACCCAAGTGATCTTGATTCACTGGACTTGATTCACTGGATATTTTTCCAGAAACAGGAAAATGGCCTTGCAGCTGAGGATTGGTGTGAAGGTGCAGATGACTGGGGAAGTGACAGTGAGGAGGTGCCACCACCACAGCGTACCTTGGATTTTGGAAATGATCCCCACAGCGCCAAAGACACAGACTGTACTGCTCAGCTCCGAGATCTCCACCTGCAGGATACTGTCCTGGGCGCTGCTCCTCCTGTTTCTCCCGGGGAAGAGATGACCCTGCCTTCCCTGGCGCCCCAGTTCCTGCCCTACTACATGTGTGTTGTAGATGAGGATGACTACAGGGACTTTGTCAGTCTAGACCACGCTCATAGCCTTCTGAGGGATTATCAACAGAAAGAAGGAATGGATATGGAACAGTTGCTTTCCCAAAGGTGAGAATGTGTGCTGCTGAGGGTGACAGGTGACTTGACTGGGAAGCTGCCACAGTAGGTGCCCTTTGGTTTTATTCTGGTAGTTGGGGAAACTTTTTCAGGCAGAACTTGTGTGTGTAGCACCTTTCTGCTTCACTCCTCTTGATGAGAAAGGAAGACCGACGGGGGATCTTACCAGCCAACCCTGAGTTAGCTTGAAAACACTTTGCTCTGTTCAAAAGTACCCTCAAGAAAAGGAACAGAGAAGTTAGGGTTGCCAGCTTCTCCAGAAGAGCATGTGTTTACTGTCTCTTTTTTTTTTCTGTTTTTAAATGTATAGCTCAGACAGGTAACTTAGAAAAATGCCATTTGTTTTTTAACTCTTGGCTGTGGCTCAGGAACTGGCCTAGGACTTCAGAGACCCTGCCAGAGCCTCGGCTCATCAGTAAAATGAGAGTCGTGTTGGTATCTCTGTTGTCTGTCTCACCAGAGGGTTTTAGGAGTCACATGAGAGAGGAGATCTTGAAAGGCTTTATAAACCAAAGCCCTCTAAAGAAAGAAGCATGGTCATTTTTGCTATTATAATAGGATATTTGGAAAGATAACCTGTGTTTGTTTGTTTGTTTGTTCGTTTGTTTGTTTGTTTTTTACCAGAGCTGTTTCCTTTGTAAGCTTTTCGGAATAATGTTGGAGTGCTTGCAGACCCGTTGGTGTCTGAAAATAATCTATAATGGACAAAGAAATGGAGAGAGTCAATGGGCATAGGACTTTTAAAATTGCAGATTATCATCCCAGAATTGAAAATGACTAGGGAGCAGAGCTTGGGAAAAAATAACTAGGGAGCAGAGCAGGGGATTATGTTAGATATAATAAGGTATTAAATTTATTATTTTTTAAGTTGTGTGCATTAACTTGTTTACTCTTCTAAATATTGTAATTATCTGGATATAGATGCTCAAAAGCATTTTCTGCTTTTCTTAGTCTTCCTGGTGATGGTGATGAAAAATATGAGAAGACCACAATTAAAAGTGGAGATAAGATATTTTACAAATTCATGAAGAGAATTGCTGCTTGTCAGGAGCAGATTTTGAGGTAAAGGCACATTTTCTTTTATTGTTTTTCTTGATTATAAGAGTAATACATGTTAGTTTGGAAACTACTGGGAAATATGAGAAAACCAGAATCTGTAATATTCCCCAAACCAAGAGGCTAAGATTTTTTCATTTATTCTATTTTATTTTATTTTTTTAAGTTTATTTTGAGAAATAGCGCAAGCCGGGGAGGGTTAGAGAGAAGTAGAGACATAATCCCAAGCAGTCTCTGCAACATCATTGCAGAGCCCAGTGCTGGGCTTGAACTCACAAACTGTGAGGATCACGACCTGAGCCGAGATCAAGAGTTAGATGCTTAACCAACTGCACCACCCAGATGCCCCAAGAGACTAAGATTTTAATATATTATGTTCACTTATTTTTTTATGCATTTGGATGCATGCACATAGGTAGGAATTATGTGTTTTAATTTTATTTATTTTTTAAAAGTTTATTTATTTATTTTGAGAGAGAGAGTAAGTGTGCGCGTGCACAGGGAGGGGCAGAGAGACAGTGAGAAAAAGAGGGAGAGAGAGAGAATCCCAAGCAGGCTGTGTAGTGTCCGTGCAGAGCTCGACGTGGGAACTTGATCTCATGAACCATAAGATCATGACCTGAGTGGAAATCAAGAGTCAGACACTTAGCTGACTGAGCCACCCAGGTAGCCTGGAATTGTATGTTTTTAAAAACATATTCAGGGGGCACCTGGCTGCCTCAGTCAGAAGAGCATGTGACTCTTGATCTCGGGGTTATAGGTTCAAGCCCCATGTTGGGTATAGAGATTACTTAAAAATTAAACAAATAAGCGCAGGGGTGCTTGGATGCTTTAGTCAGATAAGTGTCCAGCTCTTTTTTTTTTTTTTTTTTTAATGTTTTACTTTTGAGAGTGAGAGAGCACGAGCAGAGGAGAGACAGAGGAGTGGGGGGGGGGGGGGGGCAATAGAAGATCTGAAGCGGGCTCTGTGCTGACAACAACAAGCCTGATGTGGGGCTTGAACTCACAAGCTGTGAGATCATGACCTAAGCTGATTTCGGATGCTCAACCAACTGAGCTACCCAGGCACCCGCAGCATCCAACTCTTGATCTTGGCTCAAGTCATGCTCTCACTCCTGGTTTGTGAATTCAAGCCTGCTTGGAATTCTCTCTCCCTCTCCTGCCCCTATGCCACTCACCCACTGGTTCTCTCTCTCCCTCTCTCCCTCTCTCCCTCCCTCCCTCTCTCTCTCTCTCTCTCTCTCTCTCTCAAAATAAATAAATAAACTTTAAAAAAGCACACATAATTTGGATCATGCAGTATAATTTTTTTTTTAAGTACACAGAATCTAGGAATATCCTTTTAGTACATTGAGAACTTTGATTTTTTTGTTTTTTTGAAGATTTTATTTTTAAGTAATCTCTGTATCCAATATAGGGCTTGAACTCACAACCCCAAGAATAAGAGTTGCATGTTCTGCAAACTGAGCCAGCCAGGTGCCCCACAGAGCTTTGATTGTTTTTTTTCACTTGTCTGTTTTCCTGATTTATGGACATTTAATGTTGTTTCCAGACTTTTGCTCTTATACATTATACTAGTGAATAGGTTTGCACCTGATGTCATTTTGCACGTATGCAGGTATATTTGGGGTTACGTTCCCTGAAGTGGCATAGTTAAGCAAAAGGCTGTACAGAGTTGTAATTTTGATTAATAGTACCAGAGTGACCCTCCTAGGACTTCAATTCCTACTG